TGTTTTATTTCAAAGTTCGAGTGGTATTGTTTATTAATTTATTTGATAAGGCTCAACCGAATTAACTTTACAGAGCCGAGGATTCTTGGTCACTATACAATACATCTTAAAACTATAGTCAAAAGGTACAACACAATAAACACTTTATCTTCCGCTATCCAAAAAGCCTCCTCCATCAGAACTGGAGCCGCTTCCAGTGGTTTCATTGTATGGCAAATTGTTGTACGCCAACGAGGGTCAGAGCGCGTCCATTGCAGCAATGGACGCAAAACGTGGCCAGCACTCACACACTCATCACGAAACGGTTGCTTTCCAAAGTCGACGACGCATCGACCGAAAGAACTGCTGATGAAGAACAATGAGGAGGACCACACAATGGTTGCTGCCGCGAAAACAGACGATCGCGTAGCACACATCGAGAGTGGCCTGCTTTTGTCGACAGCAGAGTGAACACTGTAGTTCGAGTGGTAGTAAATGTCATTTTAAGTGCACGAATGAAGTGGTTAATTCATGATGGAAGATTTTTTTTTTTTGATTCTCGATACAGTTTTGTTTTGAAATCTAAATTGACAGTTCTTTCGGCATGTGCAAAAAGTGTGAACACCAGCAAATAGGAGGTTTCGACAAAGTGTGTCGGAAGTAAATTCGAACAGATTTTTCATTACGGTGGCGGTCAAAATCAGACCAAGAAATCAGATAGTCTAAACGGACCTTAAGAATCTTCACTGAAAATTTCAAGTCATTTGTTACCGTGGTTAAAAAGTTACAGCTGTTTATGGGCGTTGCAATAAATTCGGGTTTGTCTTTTATATCATGTTGAAAACATGTTGAATGTTCGGCATCATTTTCTGTCACCCCGACTGACGGTACTGTGGGACTGTTCATCATCGGATTAAATTGCCAATTTCCGCAGTTTGCATTGAAGAAGATGAACCACCACTGGAGCAAAAAATAAATAAAATTAGCTAAATTAAACAGTAGGGAAACAGTGGTGAGTGGACAGCACCATCTCCCACGCACTTTGGAGTACTCCCCATCCCCAGATTAAATGCACCATAAAAAATTGCTACTCCTTAACAAGATTCCTGTGCACGCTAGTGAAGATAAAGGAGGTTTTAATCTATCGACCAAATCGTCAAATACAACAGGGAATGTTGTTGCAGCTGAGTTATGCGTTATGAGTTATGAGAATCGATTTCCAGCTCTGTATAGAGATGTTCAATCGCTTGTCTCTCTTCCTCCCGTCGCTCCATTGGTCTTTCTTTCAAGCTTCGGTGAAACGGACGAGCGAAAGAGCGCTCGACTTTGATAGTTTCGGTTTTCATGAAACACATCAACAGAGGTTTCACGACGTAGGGTAGAGCGCTACTTCGTCGTAATCGCCCATTTCCGTTCTATCAATCAAAAAGGATCAATAATATCAATGATTTCACCGTGCAGAAATCAATGATAGGTTTGTTCCGATGCGTTAGTTCATTAGCTACAACATAAACCCTGTTAGAGCGCATTGTATGAATATTTACGCTCATTGTTCTCAAAACGAAAGAAGCGCTCCTAGCGAATTCCCTTTTTCTACGTTTATCCGTAGGACGAAGAAAATCTAATGGCGTTTCAATGCATTATGACGGAATTGAAACTCGTAGAACGAATTTAGCGTCAAGAAGCAGTATTAGATTTTAAACAACATCTCAACAATTTGCGACTCATTATCAAATCCAACGGTACGTATGGAAAGGTGAATAAATTTAGAAGTCATCTTTGACAGAAATATTCCATTTTTTGTTTAAACTCGTTCAGAAAAGAGAGGTAAAGCGCGGGTTGTGCTTAGTAGGACGGAAATTAGAACAAAAACCCTATATGACGGAAAATGAAAATATATATTTAAAGCGTTTCTCACGTGAAAACATATGCAGATTACACGTAATATGTTTAATTTATCTTCCGTCCTCATATTTACACGGCGAATGAGAACGACCCAAATTTGAGTTTATTTCACTCATAATCGCCAAAAGTGCAGGAACTCAGCGATGAGTAAATTTGTCTCATGGTATCCTGTGGAAAACCTAAAAATTCTGCCGGAAAATGAGGAATATGACGAAAATTTTATTCAGTCTCGGAGTAGTACCAATAGACTGAGTGAATCCAATCTTTACTTTTCTCAAATAAGGGAATTTTTCCCTGAAAAATCCTGGGAAAACATGAGACAAATTTTACTCATCGCTGAGTTCCTGTACTTTTGGCGATTATGAGTGAACTAAACTCAAATTTGTGTCGTTCTCATTCGCCGTGTATGTAAAAACATTTAACGAAAACGGAACAAATTGAAAGAGCAGTGATAGACTGTTCGTGAAAGGGATTGAAAGCTATAATGAGGTTTCGTTTAACTAGAAAACCGCCGTTACTTACATTGAAAGCGTTATTTACATTGAAAGCAACGACGAGAAGATCCACAGCCAGCCTTTCCTTCCTTCTAAGTGTTATATAAATGAAGCGTTGAACACGTTGTATGATAGAAACAAAACTCGAGTTAATTTTAGAGCTTCGAAAATATAGAGCCCTGCTTACAGCAACTTACAGCCAAAGGTAAAAAAGCAAGTACATGAACAAACCTAACGATGATATAAAAAATTACAATAGGCCTGACTTGATTAATGACCTATACTTTTCATACGCAAATTTATTGATAATTATTTAAATCTCAATCTCAATGGTCTTTGTGGACCGCTCGTGTTAATCTACATTGCTCGATTGGAACCACGTTTTATGGTTCTACACGGAGAACAAATTCGTTAAGTTAAGATAACAATCCTAATAGTTACTTTCACATGGAAAAATATTGTTGTTTGAAAGAAACCTATAGTTATTCCAACATTAATTTGACCGTCAACTCAATCATATCTACCTAATAGATTCAACTGTTCATCTTAAACTCAATTCAACTATAACTTTGATCAATTATAACAACCGCCAATGTAATTTATTTATATACTTTGGTTTCAATTGATCATCATAAATCCACACACTTTTAACTTGTGATGCGTAGAGCAGGCGATAAGATAGCTGACTCTCACGCAGATGAACACGGTTCAAATCTAAGTTGAATGTTCTTGGTCACTTTTTTTTATGATTTTGCAGTTGTGTTTTTGAGATCGATAAAGAAGCAACACAAACCTCCTTGATATGTCGATAATGAAGAGCAGTTCGTTTAATAAACATTGTAAAATTTTGCTTTCCTAACAATAGTTTTCTTGAATCAACTAAAGCATAGTTGTATTTTGGAGTTTGACGTTTGTTCATCTACTGAAAAATATAGTTGAGCCAACCGAGGAGCCAACTATGGACTATAGTTGTTGCCCTCTATATATAGTCAAATCAACTATAGTTTCGGGTTATCTCTAAAACAATTGAACAATATAGTTATTTTGACCGGAAAAATAATTATGTCTGCTATAATTTGTTCTCCGTGTATACGCCTTTTTAATGCACCACCAACGTAGAGTGCGCCACGCGAGTTCGAGAAGAAACGTCAACCAAACCGTTTGTTTACATCAGAATAAGTATTTTCCCCAACGCCAATAACAGCATTTTTCATTCAAAATCTTGCCAATTTCCATCGGTAATTGTCTTATTGTACGATTTTCCACAAATCTGAACTGATTTGCACCTTAACTATTCACACACAAGAAATCCGGGAGATCATAACCACTAAGGCACTTCTCTAATTTTCCATTTTTCTCAACAAAAATATTCCTGAACACCAGCAGGATCTTTTCAAAAACGTTAAAGAATTAAATTTTTCAACTGTAGATTAAGTTTTGCAGCATCTCAGATGAATCAATTTATCAGGAAAAGTAAAAAAGTGTTTCGCTTCCTATGTCTCAAGGCAAAAATTTATGCTCACTACACTCTTTTTGACGTTCTCCTATTCACCATCAGAGATTGAATCGATCGTTTAGTTTCTATTAAAAAGACCTATTGGAACTTTTGGATTCAGTCTTCACGCGTCTCGAAAAAAAAAATTAAAAAAGAAAATTTACCCAAAAACTTCGCTCCTGGTTGGCGTAAAATCATTTTACACCAATCATTCGATAGCTGAAAGGGACTCTTTTATTTTTCTAAAAATCGCCTCTTTCATCAGCCCTTCTTTGAAAACTGTAAAAATTAAATTTTTGACTGGAATCAACATTTTTCTACGTACTTTTTCGTATTATGAAAATATTCAAAAAGTCCCCTTCAGTTAGCGAATGTTTAGCGTAATTCTATAATAAAAGAGGTTTGACAAGTTTGGGATGGTTTGATATTTTTGACCAGGTAGAATATGAAAATACCCCACTGTGCAACGTCAGCATGTACAATGCCAGTGCAACTGAATATGCAGAGAAACGTGTATCGGAATTAATGAACTGAATATTATTTAGTATATTCCTCACACACTCTATATCCCCATTAAAATTCCTCTAGGTTCCATGCTCCCTAGGATGCTCGTTATGAAAATGAAAATTCAATGCTGAAAATGTAGGTGGATTGTTTGTCGGTAGACAGCGATGGTGAATAAAATAGTGTCATGCAAAAGTGGAGGAAATCTAGATTTAGTTGACTGTAACTTTCGATGGAGAATAAACCATTTACAATTCATACAATTATAATGACAAATTGGTATAACTACGCACATGTCAATGAGCCATGCAAATGGGGAAAGTTTAGAGTGTTCCATTATAAATTTTGAATTCAATTATTGGAGGTATTTAACATGCCATGATTTTAATTGCTTTTCATTGTGTGGTGTATCGTTTTCGATTTAAAAGGGCTCATACAGAAGTAATACAAATGTGAAATGAAACTCTATTACACGAGACTGCTGTCTCATTAAATGCGAACCTCCTGTGAATTGATTAAAATATCCTTCTCCCGACACTGATGGGAAACAGGTAGACGTATCGTTTTACATTGAACTCTCCATATCCATGTTTTCACAAATTCCCCCTAACTCTCTCCTACAGGTCCTGGCGACGTGTGGTCCCATGAGCGTGTCGTTCTTCACCGTAGTGGTATTCTTCGGTTCTTTTTATTTGATCAACCTGATGTTAGCTGTCGTTGCTTTGAGTTACGAGGAGGAAGCTGAAATCACCCAAGAGGTAAGCCCCAATTCCCCGTCCGGTATTTTAGCCAAACGTGATTCTTCACGAGTCCTTTTTGTCCCACCATTCCAGGAGCGTCGGAAAGACCTGATCGACCATCGGGACGATTCGACGTTCAGCTTCGATCCGGCCAGTTTGAATGTTAAGCAGTTAAGTAAGCAGCAGCGCAAAAAGCTGGACGCCCGAAAGGGCGTCCTGCTGGCGTCGTACTCTCGCAAGAAGACCCGCCGGAGAAAGAAGGGCAAGGAAGGGGGCGAAAACGAAAACCATCTTGTAAGTTGCCAACAGATAGATGATTATGGTTGCCTGGAAGAAAAAAAAAACAATGCTATTAAATTTTACCATTTGTTTCAATGCAGTCCAAAAGTAGATCGGTGACGCCAAGTCCCAGTCCGAGTCCGAGACACAGCATAGTGCGACCGCAGGCACTGGCACTGCAGCGAACGAAAGGAATGCTGACGACGACGCCCCCAGCTATGCCACCCGCTCAGCATCAGCAACAGAATCCGAACACGTTGCACCCTTTAGGTAACGCATTGCATTGCATTGTCTGTCTTGCCTTTATTGATTTGGCAAATGGAAACATTTAATAAACTCTCTTCTCCGTCGTCAGGCGTGCACTATAGAGGCCAGTTGCTGCCTTCCAGCCGACAGGCGAGTTCCAATGCCAGCGAAGGTGGCGTCAATCGAGAATCTTCCCTGGACGATTCCGGCGTGGTGGATGACCACGAGGAGCAGGACGTCATCACTGGCTCCGAGCTGGTGCATTCTTCCCTAGTAGAGGTAACACTCCACTAAGTCCTGTATGAATAATAGGGCTTTTCACGCCTCGCAGGTGTGAAGCGCTCACAGAATAGTATAACACGGAGAAAGATTGTTTCGCCCAGTAGAAAATGGAATACATCGAAGACAAAAGGCACCGGCGACAACGACGACGATGGCAGCGTAAAGTAGTGTTAAAAATTTATTAAAATTTAAAAATAAACACAGCTGCGCCCGGGCACACGGTTCACGCGCCTTGGGAAAAGAACCATGCTCCGGTTTTTGCACGCGCGTTCGTTAGCACTCCTGGTCCTGTTGGTGCATCCAACTCATCCAGTTATGAATTTCTCTCGTTTCTCAAGCTCTATCGTGCTGCTGTGGCTCCGTGTGTGTGTGTGTGAGTCCTTGGATGGTGTTGCTCCTTTGTGCGAGCAGATTCAAACGACCGCCGGGCCGGGGAACATAACTGCATGGTGCACACACAAAGGTGCAGTGTTCGGCTTGGGAGCATCGTTATTCAAGACTATGTGCCCTCCTCTAGCCTGAGAAGAGTTGGCAGAGGACAAATGAAAGTAAACAGTTCTACCTCTGTGTGCTCATCCTCCAACACCCGCGACAACCGGGTGGGTGGCCATCAGCCAGCAGCGAATGTTCAAAGCCAATGCAGCTGTGATGATGCTGTTGCTGAAAAAGACACAAGTGTTGAGAAATTGTATTCTCAAATTGAAGATTGTTTGCCAACCCATAACATAATGGTGGGCGTGATAGGAATGTAGTTTTTATTTTTCTTTTACTGCATGATTGATGAAAATGTTTTTGATTCTGGATAATGGATCGCACCTCGTATGTCCTCTAAGGCACATGACAGTATTTCATTATTTAAAATCATTTCAAATCCCTGAATTATCACCCATGGCTGTGTGCTTTTAAGAAGCAACATTCGGTATCCATTCTATCTAGGAAAACGGATCCGAGATGTAAAATTAAGGGATAAGCTGTATGAAAACGTTTCCGTGATGGTCCATATAGTTTGTGAGCAATCCCAAAGGTCATATATTTTCCTACTAAACGAGGATCTACACTGAGGCAAATAAACTTAAGAATTGCATAAGGTTCGACCTATGAACGACACTTAACGGGCCTTATTATGGGTGTCACACGGTGATAAGGAAGTGATACTCAGAATAAGAGCCGTGATTGCCGTACAAATCAAATGGGAATCACTTCACCGTGACGACAAGTGACAAGTTTTCACCGTGAAGTGACATCCGTAATAAGCCCCAACATTAGGTAGCTCTTATACGCCTTCAACCATTTAATTTATCCAAGCGTTGAAAGACGAGTGGTCAACACATCAACACCCATGTTTCGGATCCAGTTTGTTCCGTTTTATTAGTATTTTGTCAACATTATTTTTCATAAGGCAAATCAATGAAATTCATACGGATTTCTTGTGGCATAGTTTCAAGTGGTTCTTATGAAATTCTTACGATATTTTGCCTCAGTGTGCGGTATTGCATTGTTACCACTCAATATCCGTTTGTGAAGTGCATAAAAATCTAGGATCGATGTAATTACAAGGTAAATTTGCAATTCATTAGCTTACAGGAACTTAAGTGCTAACGGTGCTAACGCACATTGTTCATACATAAATCGAAAATGAGAGGTCCTAGGATCTGGCATCATGAACCTTAACGAAGACCTTTCTGTAGGATAAATACGATTTGAACCAGCGAAGATCCACGGTGGTAGACCAAGGCGGCTCAGTGAGGTTGAGTGGAACTTTGTCGAAAGCCTTTGGGAAGTCAATATACATGCACGACTTCACTGACGCTTCCCGCTGCTTTGGGTAAGATTGTTGGTGATGGTCATCAAGTAAGTGGACTATGATTGATTATGGATTGAACAGCTGGATATACCTTATCATTATCAGAAGACTTTCGAGAACTTTGGCCAAACAATTCAGGATCGGGATAGGTCAGTGGTTTTCCACACTGTGAATATTACCGGTATCATTGATGGAAGGTTCCAGGTATCAGTGCACAGTGGTACAGAATGCAGATTTAGCTGGAATGATATGTTTTGAGCCTGAAATTGAAACTTTAGACTAAAAGTCTCTTCTACAAAGTTGTTCCTTGTAGTTAGGCCCTCATTTTTATGACAATGAATTCTAGGGTGGTTCTTATTATCATTTAAATCAAATATCTAACTTTTTTGTTTGAATAAATTAAGGTATACATTCTTTGGCAAAGTTATAGCTGAGCTAATTTCAAGCAACTTTGTTGAAAACAATTTTTTTGTATCTCTTAAATTGGCCGATTTAGAGCTATTTTCTTGAATTGAGTTAGGGTGGCTCTTAAAAAACAGGTTTTTTGCTCTATTTTTCTTATTTCGAATTTCTCAGCAGAGGTGTCTTTAGATAACTTTTAGATCTTAAGAAGGCGCAATTTTTTGCTGCACAAAGCTTGTCAATATCTTTCGCCGATCAAGAGTTATTGACGTTTGTATACTAAAAATATACACTTTTCAAATGTTAATATCTCTGGTTGGGGCAAACAAAAAAAAAGTTTTTTTGTAGCATGTGAAAGGGCGTATGTTATTCTCCATAATATGAAAAAATTGGAGGTATGTTATTTTTTAAACTCGTATAAAATCAATTTGAATTTATTCATATTTTTTACTATTTTTGGGTATATCTTTTTTATTAGAAGAGATACAGGCAACAAACTCAGCTATAAAACATTCTTCTTAAAGAGTTTTAAAAGTCTCTAGAAGATAACATTCATGCGAATTTTCAAATAAAAAAGTTATTGCTAAAAAACTATTTTTTCCAGGAACACCCTAAGTCAACTCCGAAAAATTACTCTAAAATGAGAACGTTAAGAGATAGAAAAAAAAATTTTTCAACTAAGTTGCTTGCAAGTAACTTATCTACAACTTTGTTGAACATCACATGTTTATATTTTGTAGAACAAAAAAGTTAGTTTTAAAAATTCCCTAATTTGAGGACCACCCTGACGTTTGCAAAAACCAAAAGAAGGGAATTTTTAAGAACAAAAACTTCTTCCAAGACACTAAATGTCCAAATATTGAAACAAATGTACTAGCACATTTTATATAAATTTGTCATTAGAGTGGTCCTATGAAATCCATATTTTGCCAATAACTTTTTTATTTGAAATTTATCATGAAAGTCATCTTCTAGAGACTTTTAAAACTCTTTAAGACGAATGTTTTATAGCTGAATTTGTTGCCTGTATCTCTTCTAATAAAAAAGATATACTCAAATATAGTAAAAAATATGAATAAATTCAAATTGATTTTATACGAGTTTAAAAAATAACATACCTCCAATTTTTTCATATTATGAAGAATAACATACGCCCTTTCAAATGCTGCAAAAAAACTTTTTTTTTGTTTGCCCCAACCAGAGATATTAACATTTGAAAAGTGTATATTTTTAGTATACAAACGTCAATAACTCTTGATCGGCGAAAGATATTGACAAGCTTTGTGCAGCAAAAAATTGCGCCTTCTTAAGATCTAAAAGTTATCTGAAGACACCTTTGCTGAGAAATTCGAAATAAGAAAAATAGAGCAAAAAAACTGTTTTTTTAAGAGTCACCCTAACTCAATTCAAGAAAATAGCTCTAAATCGGCCAATTTAAGAGATACAAAAAAGTTGTTTTCAACAAAGTTGCTTGAAATTAGCTCAGCTATAACTTTGCCAAAGAATGTATACCTTAATTTATTCAAACAAAAAAGTTAGATATTTGATTTAAATGATAATAAGAACCACCCTAGAATTCATTGTCATAAAAATGAGGGCCTAACTACAAGGAACAACTTTGTAGAAGGGACTTTTAGTCTAAAGTTTCAATTTCAGGCTCAAAACATATCATTCCAGCTAAATCTGCATTCTGGACCACTGTGCAGTGGCCAACTATGCAGCACAGTTCTTGATGCAAGATGGTATAATATGATTCGGACCAGGGATTGTTAAGTAGCGTCTTGTCATGGGTAACATGGTAAATGATCGATATACTGCTGCGGCGAAGGAGTATGATTGAGTACGAAAACGATTCGGAAAAGGTCAGCGAAGAGGTTGAGTAATTTGTTTGCAAATTAAAGAGTATCTGTTACCCATTCACTTTCTCCTTGCATTTACTTCCGTCCTTCGTCCCTCAGTTTCGACTGTGGGTTGCCCTGTCGATAAACCTCTTCCAATTCCAACGGTACCGTTTGCCGAGCCATTCGTGAACTGTAGTTTGAAAACGACGGACACTATGGGGCCTTAGAGTGATGCAAAATTTGAAATTTTCGCTCCACAATACTCAAAATTTGAACCCATTTGGTGAGAAACTGAGATGGCACAAACCATTTGAAGTTTGTATGGGAATTACTATGGTAAAACCAAGACTTTTGTTCATGTCTATCTAATAATTCACCATATAGGTCTGCTTCAAAAGTTTTCAACTGCACTTGTAGGAAATTTTCTAAGCTACAACTTTGCTTAGGATCACTTTTTGATTAAATGCAAGAATCGAAAGTTATCAATGGTTAAATGCGCTGATATCTTATGATCATGCTCAATCAACTGCTCAGCAGGCAACATTGGTGTTTCTGGGGCGTTGAATAGGACACAAAAATCATGGCTACTATTCACACTGCAAAATACAGTGTTGCCTACAGAGCAGCTGCTTGATCATGTCATAAGTTTACCAATCTCTTAAATAATTAATCACTTTTTCCTGTCTCGTTTTACATAGAAACGATCTTCAGCAAAGTTGTAGCTGAGAAAATTTTCTATAAGAATGGCTGTCAAACTGTTTTGCAGCTCAATATGGAAAAAAGACTAGAAGGCAATGAACAAAAAGTTGAGATTTCCCATAGTAATTTACATGTAAACTTCAAATGGCTTGTGCGAAGTCTGTTTCTAACCAAATGAGTTGTAACTTTGGGAGGCTAATCAGGACCCGATTTGAAACCATTTAAGCACTGTGGAGCGAAAAAGTCAAATT